TTCTTTATCTATTCATCCATTAATGGACACTCAGGTTGCTTCTATATCTTGGTTATTGCAAATAATGCTGTAATAAACATGGGGGTGTGTATATCTTTTCAAGTTAGCATTTATTTTTGTTTTGGATAAATACCCAGAAGCGGAATTGCTGGATCATATGGTAGTTCTACTTTTAATTTTTTGAGAAACCTCCATACTGTTTTCCATAGTGGCTGCACAGTTTACATTCCCACCTATAGTTCACAAGCGTTCCCTTTTCTCTACATCCTTGCCAACACTTGTTATTTTTTTCCTTTTTGATAATAGCCATTCTAACAGGTGTGAGGTTATATTTCATTATGGTTTTGATTTGCGTTTCCCTGTTGGTTAGTGAGGTGGCACATTTTATCTTGAGAACCAACTCCAGTTGATTGGTGGTGGTCTCCTGGAAAGGTGTATTGAGAAGTCTTTTAAGACCTTATGAGAATGTGCTATATTTGATTATAAGTATTTGCTATGAGCACTGAAAGAGGCAGTCTGCATGTCATGCTTTTACCATTCTTGATCTATCAGGAGATTATATTAAAAAGAAGAAACACTGTTGCCTAAATTCTGAAGTCTAGTTCATTCAGAATCCAGAAGAGATGAAGGTATTGCTAGGTAGCATTTAGTCCTGTATCTTGTACCATGGACCCTGGCACTACTAAAAGTGAAGCTCACTCAAGGAGCTTTTCAAATTCTGAACATTTTTGCCTGTAGACACACTAGAATGAAGGAAATGAAATATATTTAGCACAGCAAATGAAGTGAGACAGAACTAAATTTCATACATAAAATCTTTATTACATCTAGGAAGCAAGAATATTGCAAGCAAGCTGCTTAGAAGATGAGCTACAGCCCATGATCAGCACAACTCTCTCTTCTGGTCATTGATACCTTGGTGTCTATACACCATCAGAGAGTAGATGGGGATATTGCCCACCCAACTTCTAGGCTTAGACCTAACCCCCAAAGTAGGATGAGGCACTTGATAGTAGGAACAGGCAGAAGTTGGTAAATCACTGTGTTCAAAATATTGAATTTGATAAACATGTGTCTGGTACTAACTGAATACATAATTTTCTATAAGGAAACCCAGAAGGTATAGACATAACCTCTATTTACAATAAATTAACAGTCTACCTGGGGTGTAGCTGGAGTGGGCTATACCAATCAGGTCTAACCAGGAAAACAGAAACAACTCTGAGAAGAAATGTGGTGCAGTGAATTTATTACACAGGTGATGGAAGAGTCTAGAAGCCAAAGAGGGACAGTGATGCAACTCAAGATTAGCAACAGTTGAAATCCACCACCATCCCTAAGCTTTTGAGGGGAAAGAGAAGAAGTTGGGCTACCAGAACCCTGGGCCAAATCCCATGAAACCACAGTAAATCTTTCCGGAGGATAAAGGAACATAGAAGGAATTAGAGGAACATAGGAGACCCAGTCACTAATGTAAACACCACTCAAGGAGGAGGTGGAGGTAGGGGTTGAGGAGGAAATACCTTTCTTTCTCCTTTGCTTTCACTTTCCAGTTTCATTTTAATATTCCTATTGACTGTATTTATCCATATATCAGTTCATATGAGAATCTTGAGTAAGTAGTGTACAGCGCTCCGTCCCACAGAGGAGGGGCAAAAATGCCTATGCTATCCAGGGCAGATGGCAAAAGTTCTCATTGGGCAGATCTAAAAAATAATCTTGGAGGCTGAGGCATTGGAGTTATTCCTTCAAAGATGAGAGAACAGAAATGACATAGGTTAAAGGAGATATGGTGCTTATGGAGATAGGGAGGTACCAGAGAACCTAGTGCAGAAGAGAGGGACAGCACAGGAACAATCGACAAGAAAATGCAGGGCATTTTGAAGAATGGGTATATGTGTAATCTAGCTTAGCTGTTGTACAGAACAACATCCAAAATATAATTTAGAACCTAAGGGCCTCTGATTTAGACTGGAGGTTCATTTTAGAAGAAATAATTTAAACACACGTCTTTTGTAATAATCTTCCACATTTGAAAATTCATAAAACTCATTATTCATAAAACTCTTCCTAAATCCATTATTCCCAGACAGCCTCTGAGGTAGCTCAGGTAGTTTTTTCTGATTATAAATGATGAAATTGAGGTTTAAGAAAGGTAAGCAACCTGCCAATGATCACATCATAAGTATTACGAGAGAGTACAAGACTAGAACTCATGTTGCTTAGCTCCTAATCTCAGATCTCCTCTCATATAATCAATATGGATTTCTGAAGAAATTATGTAGTTTGTGTTAAGCCACAGAAAATACCTCTCAGAACTTAAAATGAAAAGAAACCTTATTAGAAGCATAAGAAAGAGATGAATGGGCCCTTGAGGCAAAGATGCAACCAAGAATTGGCATAATACTGGGACTCAGGTGGAGGAAACTATCTTAATTCTATCTTGATATGTTTTGTCTTCTCCGAGCCCAAAAGTTTCCCTTACTTTTCCAGTCCACTCAGAAAGAGAAAGATACCCACATCATAGAAAGAAGCTGGGCTTACATGTCTAATCACTCAGAGATCCTCTCTCTCTCCCAAACTCTCAGGAAGGAATTATGCTTGGGTCCATTTTGATCAGGTGCTTCTGTTGGTCCAATCAGCAGAGAGAAATACATGCAAAACATCACGCTATTCAAGTTAGTTGTCAGGGACTCCCACTGTGAGTGAGAGCAGAGGTACAGGACAGCATTCCTTCAAATGATATTTACCACAGTACAACTGTGTTAGTATAAGAACTGCTGTACTGTGGGACAGAAGAAAAGGCCATGCTTCCATTTGTCAGCAAAGGCTCAAGACAGCACGGAAGAGAAGCAGGATGTTCAATTTTTCTGTTTACCTGTAGCACAAACCATGCCTCCTCCTGAGCAAGACTCTTAAAGCAGTAAACAGAGGGATTGCTGTAGGCCTCCCATCAGTTCACATCCTATCCTGGACACTTTTAACCCTCCAGAGTCTTTGCTCAGGAAAAAGGAGGGCTACCACACAAGAGTGTTAAGAAGACTCATTTACAGGTTATAATTTCATTCAGAGACCTGGCAGCCTGGCTCTGTGGGACGCAATGCTCTATAATAAATTTAGAATTGCCGCCATTTCAGTCATTCGGGAATAACATTTTGCAATAAAAATAGCCCTCATGTGTGTACAGTTAACAAGCCACCTCCATTGCCCTCATTTCATTTGATTCTCACAGTAACTTTTTATAATAGGAAGCATAGGAAAGGCTATTTATTTCCCTGTTTTAGCACCTGAGTCTACAGAGGTTTGTAGCTCACAGAGGTTGAAGCTCACAGCATCACAAGGTAGTTTGTTACCATTTTGATTAGATGCCAGGTCTCTTTATTCCCAATCCGATGTTCCTTTCTATTATACCATAGTTCCCATCTTACATCTCTCTTCTGTTTCCTTCTTTTCCTAAATTTCACCATCTGCCCTCCTTTGGCTTCCCGTTATTCGATTGTCTTTTTCCTTCTAGAACTTAAAATTATGTGTTGTCACCGAGTCTCTCCATTTACCACCATGATTTCCCTTTCATTGCTCACAGTTTCCCTCCCACAGGTACAATTGGGGATGGAGGGTCAACTTTACAACAGGTACCTACTTGTCAGTATGTGAGAAGAAGCACACCGGATGCAACCACAATTTCTAGTTTAAACAAAAAACCAGAAGAAAATATACACTAAAGAGAGACAACTTCTGCCCTCCCACAACATTGGATTATTTTAGTTCCTTCTTAGAGCATTATTTCCCAAACTCTTTGTTTCCCTCACTTTCCTCTTGATCCTAATTTCTTCTGTCTATAAACATCCTTTAGAAATTATTTTTTTTTTAAAGTTGAGATCTGAAGGAGTGGTACCCAATATTTTTCTTTTCAAAAGTTGATGGCTTGGTCTTTACAAGGAGAAAAAAAAGTATGACTATTCTGGGTAAACTTCAAGTGAAATGGGGGGAAAGAGGAAGAAGGTTTTGAAAATGTCACTATGGTTTTTGGCCATGTGTAATTCTCAGTCCAATATGGCAAGAGAAAAGAGAAATTTCTTCATCCCAAATGAAAATGCACAGCAAGGAAAAAAGTAAATTCATAGTAGGCTTATGGCATGTCTTGGAAATCCATAAACCAAGAAACAGAAATAAGAGAAAGAAAAAGTCTTTAATATATGTTTGGAAGAAGAAAAGAAAAAGGACCTCCAATTTTCCAATTTTTCCAAATTTTGCCCACATTTATGGAACACAAGAAGAGATTTATTTTAATAATTCCACTATATTCAGAAAGTCTCACTTTTATGAAGTTTGATGCTAAATTAAAACCTCTATTCATTTCCTTCTTCAAAGATGCATAAAAAATATACAGTATACACAACTCTAATAAATATGCTATGTTGATCATTTTAAAGAAAATAATAAAACAATATTGGATGGGTTTTTCTTTCCCATTTGCGACTTCGTGGTGACCCATGGATCTCTTTGAAATCTGTTAAGTCAATAAATGCACCTTTCCTAAAATTTTGAAAAAAAAGAAAAAAGTTGATGGCTTGGCATTGGAGAGAGCCATCCCTAATTCACAAACACACAAACGGCTACGATGTCCCATCGTCAGGAAGGCGGTTCTTCTCCATGGCCCTCTTCAGACATGCATGCTTTTGGAATTTGTGTGTCATGATCTGAGGAAACAGGATAGGAGTGGTGGTAATTTTCCAAAAGGTATGTTACTATCCACGTAATACATATACAAAGCAGAAATAAAGGCTCTGCTGCTATCTGTCTTAATCAGAATCGAGTTTGGAATTCTGAACGCTAGAGTCGGAAGCAATTGCAGAGATCCCTTGGCATTGTGCCATGAAGGAAACTGAGGTAAAGTGTAGCAGAGAGACCTGCCAGGAGTCAATCTGCAGATAAGCAACTTCAGTATCATGGGTCGGCAGGATATCCAGTAAACCTCACTGTCTCCTTTTGGTTCACAGGCTGGCTGCTCCATTGTGTTGAAATGAAGCATTCAGAAGGACTCAGTGAAATCATCTTTGGAAATTTCCAGCTGGGCTGCACCCTTGTAATACCAGGGTTAAAAGCATGGGGTGGGTGTAAAGAGCATTTCCAAAGGGCAGGCTCCGGGGGTGGTAAAGTCGGGGGTGGAGAGGAGAGAGGTGGAAAGAAAAGGTTTTTGTGATAGGACTCTCACCGGAAGCCAAAATCATCCACTGGGGGGAGTTTGTTTGATGTATATTTAATTACGGATGTCTATTTAAGCTGGGAGTGGTGAATTCATGGGGTGGGCTGATTCTCCTGGGAGATGGTTCAACCTTTCCCTTCTTCCCCCAGCAGGAGCCAAGAGGAAGGGAGGGTGTGGGAATGGGTGGGTGTGGTTGAATGCAATTGTGAAGTCTGCCAGAATACACATCTTGCTGCTGAGCAAATCATGGCCTTTCCCAGGCACCAATCTAGGAAAGTTGGCCTCATTAAGGAGGGGAAATATATAGTGCAAGGAGCACTTGTCTATGAAGGAAGGCTGGGCAGACAGTGGGTAATCCAAGGAAGCTGATCTCAACTTACACTGAGAGAGTGGTAGACAGTGGCTCTCTGTTAAAATATTGATAATAACCCAACAAACACTGGCAGAGCCTGACTATGCATCAGGCACTTGACCTCAATGATCCCGTTTAATCCTCACAACTTTATCTATGAGAGCAAGTAGTATTATCCCCGTGATAAAGATAAACAGGACCAGAACAGTTAATAAATTGCTAAGGTCACAAAACTAGTAAGAGGAGAAATGGGCTTGTAGCGCAAGTCAATGTGTTCCAAGTCCTGTGCTTGATAATAGGAACAGGTAATTTTACATAATTTCTGCATAACAGAAACAATTTGATTTTTAGAACCAAATCCCAAGTCTCTCTAACTCCAAAATCTGCGCTTCTATACACTATGATGCATGGTTTCTTTCTAAACACTTGGCTAGCCCAAAGTGCCCAAGAACATAAATCAGCAAATGACAATCAGACAGGGTTGGGTAAATAGCAAAGTCTGGTGAGAAGAGAGGAATCAAACAAAATTGTTAGAAAAGAACAAAACAGCATTGAGAAGCCAAGCAGGCAAGCTGAGAATAAAAAGCTCATGGTTATGACAAGAATTCACTCTAACAGTCTTGTTTTTCCATTTTCTCCCCCCGGCTGATCTGATGACAATCTCATTCCAACTAAATTCTCTTGTGTCATACATCTCTGTTTTTCCATCTCATTTTCTCTCACCTATTTTATTTCCATTCCGTTAAACACCACCTCCTCTTCCTTCTTGACCACTCCATTTTCTGACTGGCCTCGAGATGCTCCCCAAGCACCAGACTCCCTCAAACAGCTTGTCTTCTTCCTTTGCTGGGTGACTAATAGCTTTTTGCTGATCTGCTAGTCATCTAAAGGGCAAGGCACCCTCTACCCAACACGGAGCTTGGAGGGGACCCAGTGTAGGTGATGAGAAAAGGAAGAAAGAAGGAAGAATAGGAAAAAGGGACAAAGACCAGGCACTATAGCAGAGATGACAGAATAAAACCAAAATGAGAAGAAAATACGATGGAAGGGGAAAAAAAAATAAAGATAAAAAAGTTTTCATTCCAAGAAATAAAGGAAGGGATATAAGACCAAAAAAAGAGAACAAGAGGGAGAAAATAAGAAGAGACAGGTGATAAAGCGAAATAGAAAGGGAGAGATAAAAAAAATAAAGACAAGATAAGGCAGAGGAGAGAGAGGAAAAAATATCGAGAAAATAGTAAAGGTAGGGAGCCAGGGTTGGGGAGGAGTGAAGGGAGGCTGAAGGGGATGAAAAAGCAAAATGAAGTAATCAAGCAAGTTGGGAAAGCAGTGAGAGACATAGACAGCCAGCAGAAAGAAATACGGAGAGAAAAGGAAAACAAACCCAGCAGGAAGAAGATAGATGTAAGCAAAACAAGATTGAGAGAGCTTCTTAGATAAAACGAAAAGATTATTTTTTTCAAGGCTATCTTTTCCCTTGCCTCAACAAACACACCGTTTTATTTAACAACAAATGAGCACATTAAAATAGCTTAAAAAACAAGTCATGCCATGGAGCTGCATATGTAGGGGATATTGCTTGGTCAATGATGGCTCCCGGGAGACCCCAGGACTTCATTTAAGCTTTAGGAAATATGCAACCATCATCATAATAGCTAATATTAACTGAAAATGTACTATGTGCTAAGCATTTGGAATATATTGTTGCATATAATTCTCACAACAAGCCTATGATGCAGTTACTCTTATGATCTTTGGTTCTCAGATGAGGATACAGAGGCTTAAAGGGGTTAAAGGAACTTACCCAAGGTTGCATTGCTTTACATGCTAATCCCAGCGTCAAACTGGGGCAACACAACTACAAAGCCCATGTTCTTAACCAGCAAGTTCCAGAAAAGGCAACATGGCATCTGGAAGCAGGGCTCAGAACTGGACAAATTCGAACAATGTTGACTGAGCCTCTGCTGTGTACCTGGTACTATCCACATGTCCAGGGGATAATCAGAGATAAGTAAGACACAGCCTTGGCTCCCAAGAAAGTAATGGGATAGCAGTGGGGAGAAGATGTGTCAATGCAGAGCTCACATTAGGTAGGAATAATATTTTCCTGGAGGTAAAAACTAAATGTTGTAGGGACAGAGAAGTGGAATGGTCCTTTATGGGAGGGTTTGGAGGAAAGGTAGAGTTCTAGGCAAATGCTTTCTGTAAAAAGCCAAATTGTAAGTACTTTAGGCTTTGTCGACCACAGGTCACTGTGACAACTACTCAGCTCTGTTTGGTGGCCCCAAAGCAGCCACTGACAGCTTGTAAAAGAATAAGCAAGCATGAATGTGTTCCCAAAAGACCTGTATTGATGGCAATGAGATTTGAATTTTGTATCGTTTTCATGTGTCACAAAATACCATCTTAAAAAAATTCCCTTTTAATCATTCAAACATGTAAAAAAGCTTCTTAGTTCACAGGTGGTAGGATGGATTTGGCCTGAGGGCTGTAGTTGACCAACTCCCCCTCTAGGTAAAAACGAGGGAAAGTATTCCCAATAGAGAAAGGCGTGTACAAAATCAGAGTGGCGTGAAAAGATTTAGGGTTTCCTGAGCATTTCTATTGTCTGCCTCAAGTGCCAGGTGTAGGCCAGTTCATGACTGAGGCGGGGCTAGAGATGTGTGTTGGGGCTGGATTATGAAGCACGTAGAACCCATGAGCTTGGATTTTACAATAATGGGGAGCCTTTGAAATACATTTTAAGTAGGATTTTACCACATCCTAATTTAATTTTAGATACAAACAACACATGGGGGAAATTTGGGGCTCCAGCAATATTCGAGGCCTTTGCTGATAACGACCCCAACTAAAGGAGGTGCAACAGATGTGGAAGCAGGGGCAGTTCTGAATATTGTTCAGGAAGTAGAATCGACTGACTGGTGGTTGAACAGTTGAGAAAGAAATGAAGACTCGGAGAGGCCTAGCATGTCTCACTTGGTGGTTGTTCTTCCAATGTGAATCAAAATATTTACGTGTCATATGGATACTGAGCTATCTTATAGAGCCAAACAAAAAGGTGTGTGTGTGTTTGAAGTTTTCTGACTACAAGGGTAATATATGCTTATTCTAGTTAAAGTAAGGTTAGATACTGTAATGATTCAATCAGTGACTGCTAGCAAACACCTCTTGTGTATCACTTCAAATCCTTCAGACCTCACCTTTTATTCCAGCCATGACAGTGGTGAACAGCCTAATTCAGTTATAACCTAGCAATACCTTGCCTCAGACCTGCATTAGGCGCCTTTAGCTTTTTGCCCCAGGGCTTCTCTGATGACACATCAAGGGACACCTACATGAAATATTTTGCATGCAAACATGTGCAACCTGGAAGCCAGAGAGTCAATGCCCCAAGGATCAGCTCTTGACCAGCAGGAGCTCGGAACAGATATACCGATTGTCCTCCTCTCTACCACAGGTAGTTCTGAGCTGAGTGTATAAGTCTCCTTTGAAGTCCTGGTGGGATCGAGCACCAGCTGTCTGCAGTGATAGTCAACTCAATAATGCGCCCTGGTCTCCCCTTTTCCTCCTCCTCTGATCACTTCTCTGACCTCTCACCCTTGCTCACTGAAGGAATTCCCTAAAAAATACCTGTCTAAAAATCGGGGTTTTTTGTTTTTTTAAAATTTTTGCTGAGGAAAATTGGCCCTCAGCTAACATCTGTGCCAATCTTCCTCTACTTTGTACGTGGGTTGCCACCACAGCATGGCTAACTTTTGGTGTAAGTCTACACCCAGGATGCAAACCTGTGAACCTGGGTCCCCGAAGCGGAGTGTGTGAAATTGAGCACTGTGCCACTGTACCAGCCCCTAAAAATATTTTTTTAAAAGGTTCTTTTCATAGAACTCAGGAAAAGGAAATTCATCAACAATAGCTTAGTTTTTGCCTAGATAATCTGCCAATTTACATGTTCTTGTTTAGCGGGCAGCTTCCAAGTGGCAATTCAGAGAAATAGAGTCTTTCCATTGTGTGGCTCTGACATCTCTTAGGACCTCAGTGGTCTCTCTGAGGGAAACAGTGAAAAGAAAAGGCTCACCTGCTTCTTTAACTACCATGGGCCTCATGTGACATGTGTCCCATCCTCTTGGATTCCATAGGCAAACAAGGAGCCACATGGCCCCACCCAGACACACGGAGCCCTGGGAAATGTATTTCCTGCTCAGTAGCCTCTTCTTAGCAAAACTCTACACTATGGAAGAGCAGCACATATTTGGGTGAACAGCCTGCTTTTTCTACCTCAACGTTCAATGCATAAAATTTGGAAAATATAGAAAAGTGTAAAAAATAAGTTGAAATCATTATGACTTGACCATCCAGAGATAGCCACTATTTCACTTTGAAGTATTTCTATGTGGCCCTTTTTCTACACAGTTAATCATATTTTAGAAATATATATACCGTACAAATAAATATATACAGTATATATATAGAGAGAGACAGTAATTAAAGTACATATATATATACAGTAATTATATATACAATAATATAGATACACAATAATTACAGGTTTGCAT